TTGAAATCAGCCCTCCAAAGATGGGGAGACACAGGGCTCAAATATTTCTCAGAAAACTGCCCTTTATTTGCAAAGAGATGTTGCTGCCTCCAGGACAGCTGCTGCACATGAAGGCATCTCTTACTACAGTGCTGATACGACCACTTTGCAGACTTCCCTTTTGTTTAGATTAACTAATAATTAACAGGTACAGCTGTTGCATTGTTTTTAGGAGATAGAGAACACAGAGATTGGTGCCAAAGACTGGGCACAACCTGCACACAAACCAAGCCAGAACACTCAGCTTTCTCCAGTAAGAACATTCCTGAGAGACAAATCCTGTTGCAGCCCCTGCACTGCCCTGGGTATTCCCATGTAATTAATGTTCTTAGCAAAGCTGCAAAGCTCTTATTTGGGATGTGGGGAAGAAGCAACAGGTCCCCCCTTTGCAGACCCACACACCCCCTGTGCCATGACACAGGTGCAATGCAGACACTGGGAGTGCTGCCACCCCCAGCTCCTGACAGAACTGACCCAGAGCCTCACTTCTGACCTGGCTTGGATTGGAGTCCGTGACCTAGAGGTGAACTGCTCTATATCCCATCCAGTCTCCCACTGAGTTTATTTTCTGGTGTGGCAGATCAAAGACTGCTGTAAGGAGAAAATCTATCAAAGGCTCAGCACCCTAACATAGATCCAGCTCGCTTTTATGTTTACTTCCAACAAGCATACTCCTTCCTATTGTTCAGCAATCACTTTAAAATGGACAATTATCAGATTTCCCTATTAATGGAAAAAGTCAGGCAATCATAAATCTTAAAACATTCTACTGTCTGCAAACTGCATGTAACGCATTATGGAAAAACCAATCTGTGGAGGAAAGCTATTACCAAGTGACCATGTCTTGGCTCAGCAGCTGGTTTTAATTTCAGCAGAGGATCCCCTCTGCTTTCCAGCATCCAGCAGCACTGCTCTTCCCTCTGCTTCCCTGTGAGCACTGCAAAACTACAGTGCTGGCCTCACACTACAGCAATTCAGTGCTGCAATCAACAAGGAGAACTTCTGCATCTAAGACAACTGCCAGCCCCTCACTGCATCCGCCTTGTCTTTCATCCCATCCAAGAATGATTTGGGTAGGAAGGGACCTTAAATATCATCCTGTTCCACCCCACTGCCATGGACAGGAAAACCTTTCAATAGACCACGTTTCATCCAATGTGTTTAGAAGAGAAAAGTTATTTTACTTCCCCTATGCAGTGACCTACACAAAGCTGAACCTGGTGGCACACTGTCTTTCATGTCCTGGTACCTCTCTTATGACACAGAAAGCAAAAGAATAAGGGCACATGGACCAAAAGATACAGTTGGTCTTCTGGATAAAGCAGCAGAGTGTCATTCAGGAGTTCCCAGGTGGGATTCTGGTCCTCTCCATCAAAAAGGGTTGGAATCTAAAGCAGCCATGAGGACAAATGAGTGTTTTGCTACAGTTTACATGTGGCTTTGGATAAATTGCTTAACCATGCTTGGTTCCCATTCCCTGTGCTAGCTGGGATACTCCTGCCCAGTTTACTGGGATGTTTCATGAACTATTTGGTATTTGGGAAGCTCTTAAATTCATGTAACTCGCATGTAACAATGAAATGTGATCCTGCTTTTAGGTCAGAACAACAATAATTCAGAATGAAGCACATTTTGTTTTGATTTTCCTAAGACTGACTGAATTCACTGAGACAAATGACAAAGAAATATGATTCACCATATTCATGACTACTTCCAAAATGCTTTACTTTAATCTAAGCAATTGGAAAAACGTTAAAGGCAAAACTGCTTTACCCAGCTGACTTAAAAAGGTTGTTTCATTCCACATTTCTGTTTTCAATAAACATCCCAGGATAAAAACATCCCCTGCAGCAGATCTATGCAAAGGACAAAAAGGCGTTAAATCCAAAGTGGGGGTGGGTGGAAGAGATAAATAGTTTACTCCTATTATCTTTACCATATGTTCTATTCCAACTGGATACACATAAACAGCATGCAATCTTCAAGCTCAGCTTTAGACTCTTTGAAGTGACCTGACCATACTACTGATTTATTTCAAACTAACCTTTCTCTTTGAACCTTAGGTCAAGGTTAATTCTATAATAAAACATACCTTATACAGCTGGCTGTTCCAGTGGTGCTAGCAAGGAACGAGGCCCTCAGTCATAAGCATTTGTTTCACTGAGTGGGGTATTGTATTTCTATTTTCCCTTCCCTGTATTAATTTCCTTCACAGACCCTAGTTAAGGGGAAATAAAAACCTCTTTTCCGGTCCACGAGATCAATTTTAAACACACTGGAATTAAATGAAGACATTTAAGCCACATTTCTTTGCTGAAATGCATCTACCAACACCAGAAACTATTTTTATTACAGTCTACGTTTAATAATCAGATCTTCAATTTCACAAGAAGCCACACAGCTATGTTATTCAAATTCCTGCACTGGCAACGACCCTTTCAGTATCTTTTACAAAACCATCTCTGCACTGAATCACAGCAAATCACCAAGGATAGCTTTTCTATCCAAGAAAATAAAATGGGAAAAGAGAATCATGTTTGAAGGGCCCTTCTAAAAAAAAACCAAAGGAGAGCTCCTTGCCAATGCTCCAGCCAGTCTTGCCTGCCTGTAGATATTGAAACACGCCAAGCAGGGGTGCAAAGGTGTGGGAGAAAGCTTGGAATGTGGGATGTGGTCACTAAGAAATGCTGAGGTGCACAACACATCGCTCATCAGGCTGTTTTTCAGAGAACTGGAAATATGCTTTTGAATTTCAACCTCCAGCCCATGGCAAACACTCACAGCACTTAATTAAAAAGCAGCAACACCAAAGCTAAACCACAGCCGTTCCATATTTTTCCCGACACCAGAGCCTTGCCACCACAGTGCCTCTTGGAGCCATCGGGAGAGGAATGAGTAGAAACCTCTGTTTGGGTTTGGGGTTTCTGCAAGGCACAGGCTGGAAAACCGTATCTGCTGCAGCTAACCCTGAGGGGAATTGTGCTTCCCCTCCAAAGGAACGATGATGTTATCCAAGCTTATCCTCCCACATTTTGCAGGCCTGAGTTTAGAGCGGCTGATGTTCAGGATCACCAGCGCACCAAGGGGCACATCCCCTAAAACAGCCCCAAAAGCTTTCAGCACTTCACCTCTGGCTTAGGGACAGCTCTGTAAAACAGGGTTTAGCCCAGTGTTAAATGAGTTTGAGCAGGCAGCACTCTCAGGCAACATCAATACAGCAAACTTGTTATCTCATCAGTATCTGTCATTGCCAAACGCAGCTGAGCTTGCCGTAATGGGAGCACCATCCATTTGGAATCCCAAAGGTAGGCATCAGTTTTGGATCAATGCTCTCAGAATCTCCATTAACTATTAAAGTGCCAGTGATGTTTTAGATCTATTTTGGGTTCATTTCTTTAAACCATAACAAGGCCACAGAAGGTCTTTCACTGCATTTTGACTCTCTTACAGTAATAAAGTGGTGGCACGGGAAGCCCAGCATCCCCAGAATTGATGCTCCAAGGAAAACCTTTCCCCTCCAGCTCTCCATTCCCATTTCACCACACTGTCTTTCTCTTCCAGCTTCTCCTCAGGGACTATTGCCTATTCCCACTCCTTAATCACATGCCAGGATGCCCCACTTCCAACAGCAGGGCCCCAGCTGGCAGTGCCCTGCATGTCCTGCTCTTGACTCCATGCTCTGTCCCAAAAGCACAGCCCTGGGCATGCTGTGAGGTAAAAGATGCAGCATGCAGAAATTCCCAAACAAGAGATACACCTTTTGCTACATGGACTGTCTTTACCTGTCCCACACATATCAAGAGCAATACTCCCCCTCTTTCCTCTAACATAGGAATTGGTATCTTAAATGAAGGCACTTGAATTCTATCCGTTCAAAAGCTCAAAATAGCAATGTAAAATTCCACCCAAACGCATTGAAAGAGACATCTCTACCATTTTCTAAACTTCTTCAAAAGGCACAAAAAAATATTATATCTAATGATTTAGTAGTGAATGAAATCAGCCAATTAGACAGCCAAGGACTGATTTTTCAAAAGGACCACACAGAACAACTTAATATCATGGGAGATAATAAACATGTCCTGAGCTGGATCACTGAATGGTGTTGCTAACAGCCTGTCAGAGATATCAGATATTTACAGCAGAATAAGGCACCACATCAGATAAAGTACAATACATCCTCTCAAGGATATAGAAATATGGAAAGGAATCACTCTAGCTGCATTTCAAGTCTGGGTGATTTCCATAACTCCTGAGAAAAGGTTTTGTGTGATGCTAGTTCTCTTCTTAAGGCACCCATCCATGCTGCTGGCATGTGGGAGACCCTCTGGAGCAAGAGGGTCAAAAAATAGCACAGACCTCACAGACTGGACAATGTTTTAAAGATAAAAATATGTACAGATATCTACTAAATTGAGTAATGTAAACTAAACCTTTAAAATAATTTTGTCTACATGTTGACATTAAATATGTCAGACCCAAGCATGTATTTGTACTGTCCTAGAAATGATGGCTTCCTGTTAGAGACTTTTTGATGCAGCTGCTATGGAAAAGTGCTTTTTTGGATAAACTAGTAAAAAGCAAGTAAACAAAGCTACAACTTAATTCAATTATATATATCACTGTGAAATATCTTACAATTTATTGCAACTGTGCACAGGCTATAATCTATCTGGTTCTATACAAAATTTTGAAATCTCCTCATTATTAAGTGTATCCACAATTATGAAAAACTTCAAGCCATTCAAGTGGATAGTTAAGAACAGGAATTCTGCACTTTGGAATCAAGTTTGGTGGGGTTTTTTTTTGGTTTTTTTTTGGTTTTTTTTTTTTTTTTTTTTTTTTTTTTTTTTTTTTTTTTGTTTTGTTTTGCTTTGATACCAGTTTGGCCTTAAACACGATATAACATAGCTGGCGTTCCTGTTCAAGAAAGCTACAAATTGCAGGTATTCACAACTGACCTTAGCATTTTCCTGAGCATCTGTGCATGCCTGTATCAGTTACTTCATGGGTATGTGCAATATCCCTCCTGAATGAAGAAACCAATAAAGGTGTTAGAAGACATCAAATATTGATATACATTTCCAAAATTTTACTCAGGACACCAAAAGTACTTTGGGCTGAGGAGGCTTCCACCCTGATGATGGGGATTTCTAAGACACTTTGGGACTGAAAAGATGCTTTGCAGCACTAACACCACACCAGCATTCCAGGGAGGAACACTGAGCCTCAATTTCAAGCAACATAGGGAATGCAACCTGATGAAGAGGTTCAATGAAAAAGTGAATTTCTCTCCGTTAATCCTGCAATTACAGCCTGCAGAGATGACTCAAACAAACCAGGATTCTTCCTTGAGACTACAAATTTGGATGATAATGGGAATGACATCTACATGTTTTTGACTTGTCTGTTAAAATTAGAGCTGCATAAAACCAAATTTGACACAAAAAGCAGTCTTCTTGGATGACCCTTCTGGTTAATCTGCTGTTTCACACGGATGCAAACTCCCAAGATGGTGCCCCCCTCTATGTCCTTCCTTCCCCCATGGGCCATGGATCTGACTTGGTCTGTATCTGAGGTAAAGGTGACATTTTTCCCCTCAACCCACAACCCCTTCCAGTGTCTAAGAGGAAGATGCAGTTGCTCCCTTTACCCCCTCCAGGTCACTACCTGAGAAGGAGGTGCTGTTGTACTCTGTAGGCCTCTCACAGTTTCCACCTGAAGAGAAAGCACCCTTCTCCCATACCCCTGTCCCAGTCTTTACCTGTGAGGGTGATGCCATTTTCCCCTGTACCCCTCTTCCCAATCTCTACCTGAGGGCAAGGTGCCACTGCTGTCTATACCCTCTCCTGGTCACCCCCTGAGGGGAAGATGCCATGGCCCACTCTACCCATCTCTTCATCAACACTTGAGGGGATGGCGCCATTTTCCCACCGCACCTCTCTCACAGTCTCATCCTGAGGGGAAAGCACCACTTTCTCCTCATACTCTTCTTCAGGTCATTACCTGAGGCAAAGGCGCCATTCTCTTTCGTACCCCTCTTCCGATCTCTGCCTGAGGGGAAGGCGCTATTCCTCTCTCCCGGTCTTTGCCTGAGGGGAAGGCGTTATTCCTCAGAACCTTCTCCCGGTCTTTGCCTGAGGGGAAGATGGCACTGCCCCCCTGAACCGCTGTCCCAGTCTCTGCCTGAGGGGAAAGTGCTGTTCCTCACGCACCTTCTCCCGGTCTCTGCCTGAGGGGAAGATGGCACTGCCCCCCTAAACCGCTGTCCCAGTCTCTGCCTGAGGGGAAGGCGCTATTCCTCACGCACCTTCTCCCGGTCTCTGCCTGAGGGGAAAGCGCTGTTCCTCACGCACCTTCTCCCGGTCTCTGCCTGAGGGGAAGATGGCACTGCCCCCCTGAACCGCTGTCCCAGTCTCTGCCTGAGGGGAAAGCGCTGTTCCTCATGAACCTTCTCCCGGTCTCTGCCTGAGGGGAAGATGCCACTGCCCTCTGAACCGCTGTCCCAGTCTCTGAGGAGAAGAAGCCACTGCCCCCTGAACGCCGCTCTGCCTGAGGGGAAGATGCCACTGTCCTCTGTAATCGTCGCCGGTCCCTACCAAGACGAAGGCGCCATTCCCCTGTAGGGTTGGTGTCCCTCAGGGGGTCCCTCCGACCTTCCACCCCGTCCCCACGTAACGGGCACAACCGCCGGCCCCGGGGACCGAGCGCCGCAGCGGGGCGGGGCGGGGCGGGCGGAGGCGGCTGCGGGGCGGGGCGGCCCCGCCGCGGCCCCGGCGGCGGAAGGGGCGACGCCGGCAGGGCGGGCACTGCCGCCTTGTCGGAGCGGCCGGCGCTCGGCAGCCCCCGCCGGGCATGTCAGCGCCGGGCCCCGGCCCTGGTCCCGGCGGGGAGGCCCCGGGCGCCAGGGAGACGGTGCGGCGGGACCCGCTGGCCGCCGACCTGCGGTGCAGCCTGTTCGCCGCCGCGCTGCAGAGCTACAAGCGCGACTCGGCGCTGAGGCCCTTCCCGGGCCGCTACGCCAGCGGCGACACCAAGGACTTCGAGGGGCTGGTGAGTGCCGGGGGCCGGGCCGGGGCACCTCCCGCCATGGGGAGCACGGGCTGCCGGCAGAGGGGAGAGCAGCGGATAAAGCAGGATGAAGGGTTTATCCAGTCAAGAAATCCCGGTTTAAAAGAGTATCTGGGATTCTGACCGATAAACCTGGAAACGCCCAGATCCGGTGTGGACAGCGCGTGAAGTAACAAGCGATAGGTAACAGGTAGTGAGACGACGGGACAAGAGGAAGCGACCTCAAGCTGCTCAAGATTGTGTATTCTGGAACATTTCTACCCTGAAAGGGTGGTTAGAAATGCTAACCAGGCTGCCCAGGGAAGGGGTGGAATCACCATCCCTGGAGGGTTCAGAAAACATTGAGATGTGGCACTTGGGGTCATGGTTTAGCAGTGGGCTTGGCAAAGTTACCTTAAGGGTGGGACTCAATCTCAGACATGTTTTCCAGTCTTGAGGTTTCTAATGTTCTGTGAATTGTTATGAGAGCTTGCCAACATTAAATTCAAATTCATATTGAAGGATTTGCGTATTACATGGTCTGAACACCCCCATGTCTGGTCCACTGCACATAGTGCCCTGTCACAGCTTGTTTTCTCTCAGGAGTGTGTCTGATTGTTCCTGTACAAACCCTGCAAATACTGTTGGTAAATATCACTGTAACTTGCCTGGTATTTGCGTTCAGAGCAATTGTCAAACTTCCTCACAAACTTGAAACAAGTGTTTATATCTCAGAACAAAACCCGTTTTTCAGTTTGTTGGGGTGAAATATTGTTTTGTTTTCACTAGAGGTCCCTGTTTAATCGCAGTGGCACTAAGGAGCTTGTGCTAAATGCCTCTGTTGTTAGCTTGCAGATACCAAGGCTCTGCCAAGCCTGAAAGAGCTTCTGGGGTCTGTTCCAAATACAGATAAAAGGACCTGGGACCTGTTTAGTTGGATTCTATCATCTAAAGTCTTCATGATACAAAGTATTAAGAAACAGGAGGTAAGTTTTGAATTCTGAAAATCTTAATTAGAATTTGGTTTTTGAGTCAAACTTGCACTTCAGAGAATATTTCCTCCTGCCAGAATTAAGTTGGTTTTTGTGAGAGCTTGACAGCTGAACATAAATCCATTCTTCTCTGTTTATAGAGAGGGGTGTTTTTAAGTAAATTTTCAGGAACACTGGTTAGAAGAAATAGTTACCAGTGTCAGTAGTTGATGATGGGCAGTGATTGTATTTGGTTACTGCAGTTAACATAACATGTACATGCACGGTTTAGCCTGAGAGAGTCCAGTTTGGCTGTCATGGAGCTGGATCCTGCTTGTCATTGAGAAAGACAGCTCTTGTGTTCTGCCCCAAAAAGGGAAAGGTTCAGAGCCACTGAGGCACTTCTGTAACAGGGATCAGAATAGTTGTAGAGATTAGCAGCAAGCTGAAAACAACTTCTGTTTTCATGTTTTTTTCTCTTGCAAGATCAGCTGATGAATAGATTGTCTTAGTAGCCAAAGTAGAATTGTGATATTGTCCTCGCATCATAAATTTATTCATAATTATAATTCAGGTTTGGGTTTTTTTCTGGAGAGAAGATTTAGGATTTAACTTAGATAGCAAGAAACTGGCAGGATTTTTTACTGTGCACTTACTCCTCCTGAATTGTGACAGTGTAGAATTCTAACACAGAAAAGCATAATCAGAATACATTAAACAGAATTTCCAGTGAGTAATCTAACCACATAAACCAACATTGATATTCCTTCCTGTTTTTAAGTACAAGAAGATCCAGGAACTCACAGGGATGTCTGGGGTTGCGGTTCCTGCTCCAGACTACCTCTTTGAGATCGTGTACTGCGATCAAATGAACACCAAGTTTGCTGAGACCAAGGGAGAGCGGGACCTTATCTACGCCTTCCATGGGAGCCGCCTGGAGAACTTCCATTCCATCCTGCACCACGGCCTGCACTGCCACTTGAACAGGGTGAGGCTCCTGCCATTGACACCATCTTCCTTTGCTCACTTGCAGCTGGGACATGTTTAAAAATAGGCCCAGATTCCTTTCAGGGTATGAAATGTGCTGATGCTCTTGTATTGCTGTGTTCATTTTAGTGTAGGCCTTTGTGGACGGCTGTGTTGGATTTTCTAGTGCAGCCTGAGGGCAAAAACTGGAAGTGGCATGAAACACTTTTCACCAGCGTGACAAATTATGACTGTCCTTTGCTTCTTTATAAGGAGGTATAATTCCTCTAAAAATCCTGGCCTGTCTGACAGCCTGCAGCTGGGAAGTGCCTGTCTACAGAGACAGAGGATAATGTAGAGTTTCTGCCTGGCCTTGTGTTTAGATCAGCAAAGTTTCAGGTGCTACTTGCCAGTGGAGCCTTCTTAAAATGGTCTGGTTTAGGGAACATCCCATATGATTTGCACATCTTCTGATTTCAGGGGAAGGGAAGTTGAGACTCTTGGCTTTTTGTGTCAGCTGTGAGGCAGCTTTGACACAGCACCTGCTTGACATTCCAGTCAACCTGGACTATGTTTTTTCCCCACATTCTCAATGAGTAGTGGTTTACTGGGTACAATGGACTTACTGGAGTAATAATTTTAGCCAGTGTGGCAAATTGAAAAGTTCTTTCCTCTTTTCTAGTAAAGCATGGATTTAAATGAAGTAAAGCCTTGCCTTGTTTGGGGAGTTTGGATTACTTGAATGACGACAGTCTCAATAAATTGATGAAATGTCTTTTAACAGCGGCGCAGTCATGTTGATGTAAAATACTTTTGCTGGCAAACTGACTCCAAATCCGGGAAAGCATGAATCTGTCCACACCAAGTGCTCTGCCAAGCAGCTAATTTGAGGGATGGGAGAGGGCAGCAGCCCCACCCCAGGGAAGTTGTGCCAGGACAAAAACAGTGCATGGACCAGGCCCAGCATGGGTCAGAAAGGCCTTTCGTAATTTACCTTCAGGAGCAAAACTGCCAGTCTGAAAGGAAAGATCACTTGTATGTTGTTTGAGGTTTGCAGTACATGATTTTAGGGTAGGTTTCTGCTCTGTTTCAGACATCCCTGTTTGGTGAAGGCACCTATCTGACCAGTGACCTGAGCCTGGCTCTGCTGTACAGCCCTCACGGTCTCGGCTGGCAGCGAAGTGGTCTGGGCTCTGTCCTCAGCTGTGTGGCTGTTTGTGAGATCATTGACCACCCAGATGTAAAGTGCCAGGTGAAAAAGAAAGATAAGTCTATCACAGTAATAACTGTGTATTAGTTATATCTGTCCTTCATGTTGTTTTTCTTTTCCTGTTAATATCAGTGGCTTCTTGAGCGCTGGATGGGAGAGTTACCTCCTTGTCACCCTGGTCTGGGCCATAATGTCACCCTGGTCTGGGCCATAATGTCACCCATACCAAGGATGACTAGGAGTGGTATAGCCTCAAGCAAACTTCTCACTCTATTCTTGGATGCTGAGGGATTCAGGGGAATACCAAGACTAGATTTTTGGTTATCTCATTCCCATTCTTCTGGGGGGTGTGTATGGGGGTGTTGGTTGTTTACTTTTTTACAGTTACTTGAAGTTCTGCATCTTTTTTTCTTTTCCCAATTCAGATTCCGAAGAAATAGACAGAAAAAGAGCAAGAGTGAAAAATAGCGAAGGGGGAGACGTACCACAGAAATACTTTGTTGTCACAAACAACCAGCTTTTACGAGTTAAATACTTGCTAGTGTATTCACAGAAGCAGCATAGGAGGTAAGAGTTCAGCTGTCTAGAGGGATAAGCTACTACAACAGCCAGATAAACACATCTCATTGCTGAAAAAAAAAAACAGGAAACAACCAAGAAAGATACACTGCACTGCCAGAATTTGATGTAGCCTATTTCCTATGGAAATAAGTCTCTCACCATTATGTTGCCTCTGTCTTGCTCTTTGACATTCCCAGGCTCAGCTAAATTTACTTTTTTACCAGACAGACCTCTAAGCACTTAGAGTCTTTGAGAGGTCTAAGTATCTGTTTGTGGCAGGAAACCAAGAGTGGATGTCTGGTGAGTGCATCTCTTAAAACTGCCTCAGTTTTAATCTGCCCTTATCTATCCTAAGTGGCAGTGTTCACTCAGCTACTCAACACATGTCTACAGGCCAGGCACCTACAGCTCCAGACCACAGGGAAAGGTGTGAACATGGGGAGAAAAGACAGGATTGTGCATGGAGACTTAAGAAAAAGGGATGTGGTAAAAAAATCAGGCTTCATTATTTACAGGGATTGTGGAACAACTTTCTGTTTTTATGGATTTGCTTAAAATAATGAAGCCTGAAGTATTTTTTGCCAAGGCATTTGTGCATTTCTGACAAATTCATGCCCTTTTCCCCTTTCAGGCCTTCTCCTGAATCTTCCTGGTTGTACACCCACCGTTTTGCTGTATTGATGATGCTGTACCTGCTGTTGCTGATAGTGATAGGTGCCAGCAACTCACCAACCTTCATCTACTACTGGCACAGAATGTTTGACTCGGAGAGATGAACCACCTGAGATGATAAACAGTTAATTTCACCATGTGCCTTAACAATAGCTGATCTGCAGTGCACTGCATCTATTCCAGAGCTCTGGAAATAAAGCTGCCCAGTTCTGTCACCAGTATATTAATCCTCATGGCATCTCTGCATTTATTCTTATTTCTGTGTTCCTGGGATTCATGAGGATGCCTAGTACAGCTGAAAAGGATCACAGTGGTGCAGCTCAGCATGAGCCAATCATTAAGGGTCCATGGAAAAAAGGTTGTTTAAGATTAATGAAAACTAAGCATGGAAACACTCAGGTGTAACTTATTTTCTGTCAAGCTGAAGTGTGTTTGCACAAGTTGGAAAGGAGGATTTTTCTGGATGTCAGGCAAAGCAACCTATTTGGAGTCTTATCAGTATGTTTTCAGAAATTGAATCTAATGATGTTTGGCATGTATCAATGCAGATGGAATTACTTTTAAACTTTTAAAACTAACTTTGGCCAGGAATTTTTATATTTGAGCATAATAATTGTAAGAAAAAAAAACAAGAAGAAATAAAACAACCGCCAAATGGAAGAACTTAAATGGTTTCTAGTATGTGTTTTTCCCCTCTGTAGAACGTGGTTGTGTTTTAATCCCAGCTGGCAGCTAAGCACAAATCCAAAACATAGTTACTGCACTGCTATGAGGAAAATTCATTGTATCCTAGACAAAACCAGCACAAACATCCACAAGGCTTGTGGTCTCAGCCATGATCTGTCTTATCCTATCTTACTGTGCAGATTAGACAAACTCAGGGTTTTCAGCATCAATACTGAATAAGGATTGTTCTTACCAAACATGTGCAAGTTAGTAATGCAGCATACACAGGGCAATGCTCTCTCCTCTCTCCCTCCTGTCATTAGTGTTTGCAAAGCACCCTACAACTGCCTGAAACAGAAAAAAGGAGGAAAGCACTGTCCTCTAATTAGTGACGGAGCATGGGATAACCCCATGAAGATCCAGGGATTCTAGGCAAGGAAAAGTCAGATAGGTGCCACAGTTCAGTCTGTCAGTCCAGCCTTTAGTAGATTTGATAAATGCAGATTTTCATTGCACAGTGAACCCTAACCACAAAAAAAACCCCCAACTCATCACATATTTCCAGCAAATGAGTCTGTGATTACTACCTTACTCATTAAATATTTCAAAGAAAATCTCTTCTCTTTCTGATGTTGTTCTGGTACCTAATTGCCAGAAATAATGTCCTGGTAATCAGATTTTTTAATTCAAAGCTGAGAACAAGTTCATTTAGAGCAACCCTCTTCTTGGTGACTGGAGCTAAACACATTTATCCCAGTTAATTTTGCTGCCAGAACAAATTTATTTATTCACCATACAACTTGCAAAACAAGAACATTATAATCCAATTCCCCATTGCCTTTTCCAGCCCGTTAATAATGCTCACTGTCAAAGGACACTGCAGCGCCTCAGCCCAAGAAGAGTCCGTGCTAATTATAGCAAAGATTTGCAATTAAAATATGCATAAACAAATAATTTATTGTGCAACAGGTTCAACAACTTTATAGTTTACTCCTTGATATTTCAGTGCAGAAACTTGGGGTTTGAGATGTGCACAGGGGTCATGGGAATATTTGCCTATTTTTATCTTCCTCAGCATGTTATATTAAATGTTGTGCTATGTAATATACAAATTTAGGGGAGATAATGTGCCAGCTAGAAAACCTGGAGGTATTTTTGACACTGTCTAAAGGGTACTGGTTTGTAAAAGCCTGGTTTGTTTGAAAAAGAAAAAAAAAAAACCTCATCTTTTGGAACAGATGGGCTGTTTGTGGCCCTTTGGAAAAGGAGGAGGTTGAGCAGCAGTTGTGGGATGGCTGTCTGCTGGCACTGCACGGAAAGGCACAATCCTGGGAGCTCCTGAGCCAGATGAAAAGAACACAGCAGGGATTTAAAGCTCTTTTCTTAGGGTTTCTTTGCATAGGAAAGTTTCTGAGTAAGCAGAAGCAATAATAGTTCCAGGCTATGTCCCCAGAGAGAAAGCATTGTGGGGGCTCATGGCAGACACGCACAGTCCAGCTCTGCAATGAAATCAGCAGGTATCAAAGGAAAAAAAAAAAAAACAACAACAGCTTTTTCTGCTTTGATCAGTTTGGCTAGATCCCAAAAAAAAAGGAGGCAGTTTCAGGTGTGGGCTGAATCCTGATGGATGTGTCTGGAGTATCCCTTAGGGAGCTTGCAGCCCCATACCTCATGCTCAGGCCTGCAGGGATTCTGGGCACAGCCTCATCGTTGCTTCAGCTCCACAGCTGTGGAGCGAGGCAACAGCAATGGGAAAATATTTTAAATACATTTAAGGTGCTCAGATCCTACCTAGCAGCCTGGCAAAATACTTAATATCCTACTCCCACGCTTGTTTTCTGAGCTCCCTGCTGATTTCAGCATGTGTTTCCCAATGTGGCGAGGGGCAGTCAGCTGGATTAATGCGGGTATTGTGCTGAGTAACTAACAGTATTATGAATTAACCCAAGGTTTGTGTTAGCCTCTTAAGCCACTTGCGTGGCTCTTTGAACATGAACAGTGCTATAAAAACACTAACAGGGAATGAATCAGAATTTCCTCCCGAACAAAGGGCCGCTGTGTTTGAAGCAGGCAGCCCAGGGTGAGGTTGAGGTGTTGTAAAATACAGAGCTACCTGCTCTTATTAATATGTTCATTACATTACTGTGGTGAATATTAAGGAATTGTTACTGAATCAGACAAATCTGATCCTGGCTGGGACTGCAAGAAGTGTGGTGTTTCCTTGGTGGAAATGAGCAGGTTTTGAGGAAGTGGGAGAATTTTCCTCCAACAAGCATAAATAGATAATAAATTTAAAAAGTATTTTCTCTCTCTCTATTTTATATATATTTATATACAGAGATCTCAGGAGCCAGCTGAGGAGAAGGGCAGGTGCTGTTGGAGACAAAGGGTTTGAGGCAATGGGAGAGAGAAAGGGAAGCACCACAGAAAGCAGGACCACCCCTGAATTCAGGGGGAAAGCAAGACATGGGGATTCATGCCCCTAATAAGTGATGCAAAAATCTTGTGCTCTCTAAAGTGTGAGCAAATACAAGAAAAGCAGAATCAGAAATGCAGGAATATCCAAACCAGGCCTGGGCTTTGGTCCACCTCTGGCAGGACTCAGACTGATCCCAGCTTCCCCAGGAAGGTGCTGCCCCCCTGCTTGCTCCGAGCCCTTCGTGCCTGCAGTGGACACATGGCTTAGCAGCACACACTGTCAGTGGCATTTTCCTTCTCTCATGAAAGCTATCACTTTGGGCATCTTGCCCACACTCCAGACTCCACAGGATGTCACTTCTAACATCAGCAACAGGAGGGAAGGTGTGAAAGAGATGGGCAAAAGGAGCAGCACTGGAGTGCCTGCAAGAGTCCCAAGGAATGTGCCATGCTTCTCCTAAGGACTAAGGTACAAATGTTTGCCAGAATCCCCATTTCCCTACTCTTCATAGAGATCATTTCCAATCTAAATTATTGCAAGATCACCGAGTCCCCCTGAAACCAAACCCATTTTTGCCTTTTTACTGTACCCATGGGGTGCAAAATCCTTCCCACAAGGAAAAAAAGTATTTCTTGCTCCTCAGAGAAGACCTCTGAGTCTCCTGTTGCTGGGCAAGAGGAGACGTGTATGAGCAATGTTGTATCTGTTCTTTCCCACTCAGCAAAAAGTGGATGAAGACAATTTTCAGTAGATTAAAGACACTTTTCTACTTATTCAAGGCTTGCCAGAAAACCAACACACCTTCAAGGTCTGCCTCCCGTCAGCAGCATGAACAAAGAGACCAAAGGAGTGTCTGATGAATAAATTAGTTTCCTCTACTGCAAGCCATTTCCACCACCTTACAAGAAGCCCTTTTTTTTGCCATTCTGGCATCAGGCACCCCCTGCTCTGTTAGCACTGGGTAATTAACATTGAGCAGAATGAGCCCAGGAAAGCCAAATTACAATTACGCATCTCATTGGAGTTTGGATGCTTCCTAAATGGCTCACACTAGTCCCCACCAGTTGGTCTGGGCTCCTGCAGTTCTAATTGATTTTTTTTTCTCCCTGGGCTACATGTTTAGCATAAATAATAATTAGTACCAGAAGGGCAAAGGCTGGGTACCCACGTGCAGCTCAGCATCACTCTGAGCGCTGTGGTTTCCTGTGTTCTCATTGCCCAGCCCCAGCCAGCCTGCAAGGACTGCTTGCCACCCCTCCAATTTCAATAATTTGTTAGCTGGTGAACCAGGAGACCAGAGCAGATCCTTTCTGGCTGATGGGGAGCCAACACCTCTTGGAAACAGGGTTGAGAAAAAGCCCCCTCAGTGCCCAAAGGAGATTTGTTTTCTTGAGGGGAAGACATCTCCCAGCTCCCTACACACGCAACCACAGCAAGACAAGAGTTGTTTTTAAAACAAAGCTCTTTCATCCTGATAAAGTCCAGATGCTCATTCAAAGCTGCTGTTGGCCATAAAAATAGCCAAGGAACTGCCTCCTGCCAAGTCCAGAGCTCCTGAGCTGTCCAAAGATTTAACTAAACTAAGAAAACAACAACCCACCTGGCTTAAAACTAAATTTCTCTTCAAAAGCAAACCCCACATTTAATAACAATAATCAGAGAATGATAAAAAGAAATAATCCACTATTTCTAATTACCTGGAAAGGACAACACAGTTAAATAAATTCATCTCTTCAACCCACACCCAGAGAAGAGACTTCTGCCTTCACAAGTAACTTTTGGCACAATGGTAGAAAGCAAACAGCCCACATTACTCACCACAGCTCAGGTGATCCCTCCAGAAGCCTTCCTTTACCTCCATCTGGCACTAAAGGTGCTGATGGACCCTTCTCAGCTGCATCCCATCACTTCAATCATTGGGACACCTCAAACAACCCCTGTAGGATGGCTGTGCCCGCTCTGCTGGGCAGAGCTGAGGGGCTGGTGTTGCTTAGGGCAAAGCAAATGTGTCCATCGTGTGGCCTGCAACCTGCCAGCCTATGCTCTGGGACATGGGGACAGAAAGGTCAGGGGGGCTGGGCAGTGTCAGGTCTGGTTCTCATTATCACAAATACTCTCTCTCCTGGTTTGCCCTGTGTCCCACAGAGCTGCTGTGTAATGATACATCTGTCTGTACATCCCCTTCACACCAGAAAACAGTAGCAGAGACTGTTTTCCCTTCTGGCTCTCTTCAAAAGAGAGAAGAAACCTCACCCTACCCCACTGTGGTTCTTTGTACTGCTCTTGCCTGAGTCCCTCCCCCCCCACAGCACTCCAGGCCCACCATTCCTGGGGCATGAATAACCCTGCATTAGTCAACCTCCAGATATTTAGATATTTCCCAGGGCTTGTCACACATCCATGGGAGAACCAGACAGGTTGTGAGTCAGGAGATCTGAAATTTCCAGAGAGCTTTTCCTACAATGGGTGGAGAAAACGGAGTAAAAGCCTATGATCACACCTTTGCAGGGTGTGATCATCCATGCAGCTCTACAGCTGGGTGACACCATCCATGCAGCTCTACAGCTGGGTGTAGGTGCAAAGGGCACTTGAAGACCCTGGACCACAGAGGAGATGGTAAATTTCCTCCCAGAGGTTGATGCTGGAAGTGTGGTGAAGCTTGATTCCAGAATCAGGGCTGGAGCATGTTTCAGGTACAAAAAGGATGTTTTCTAGTTTTCACAGCACTGCCAGAATACAGCAGAATGACCAGAAATACCCCCAATCTTTTTCACCCTGGGTACAGGGAGGAGACACATTCTCAGTTTCTGGTCAGAAACCCTTCCCCACAACAGCTGAGTAGGGAACCTCATCATGACAGTTTCCAAAATGGTCCTACAGGAAAAAACAGTCCCAAAGCTGTGCCTGCCATCCCCTTGTGGGTACATCTCTTCATCAGACTGTGCTGACAGTTGTCCCATTGGAGCCCCCTGATGCCACCCCACCATTTGCAGCACCATCCTTTGTGTTGTTCTCTGAGGCTGAGATGGGTTTGTGTCTCTTTTGCCTGGTGATGGCTGTTTCAATGCCCCTGAGACACAGCTGCACGTCCTCCCGAAAGGAAGGGGTGTACAGTCCATAAATGATAGGGTCAGTGCAGGTGTGCAGCAGGCCAAAGAGGAAGAAGCTGTGGTTGACATACTCTGGCATCTTCTGGATCATGGCTGGCTGGAACCAGTACCACAAGCCCAGGAGATAGTAAGGGGTCCAGCAGATGATGAAGGTGGCAACAATCACTATGGTCATCTTGAGAGTCTTCATGCGTGCCTTGGAGATGTGTTCGTTTTGATTTCTTGTCAAACCTGCCAAGGAGAGTCAAAAAGATAGTTGACAATAGGGGAAAACCAAGACAACATAACCATCCATGACTCTGCTTCTGCCAGAGACGGAAGAATCTCATAATCTGCTCCACGTCCCACAGGAAGCAAAAGACAGCAAGGACTGGTGTCAATAAGTTTGTGCAAAACCTCTCAGTTGGTTTGTGCAAAACTGCTTAGCTTTCAAAGGATGTTGTGACACACTCAACAACAATTCCAGGATGGAGAAGTTCAGTCATGGAGGACATTAAAGGGCTGGGATCTACTTACCTTTATTGACCTTTAGCTGCTTACTGATCTCCCAAAGGATCCGGATGTAGCAGACGATCATGACACTCAGGGGGGTGATGTAGAGGGTGGTGAAGGTGAACATGTTGTAGACAGTTTCCTCCCAGTGTGCTCGGAAGCTCCCATGAGTAACACACTGGGTGAAATTCCCTCCTGGGATTGTGCTCAGGTGGAAGAGGAAAAGCTGAAATGGAGAACCAAATGATAACTCAGAGAGGATTTGGAATAGAGCACCATATCCTGGAGATGCTGCTGGCTGTGCATGGAGAGCACCTCCCTGCTGGTGTCAGAATGGGAGATAGGCTCTGGGCACCTAACTCATGCCTTATTCTGGTGCTCGTGGAGTCCATGGATTGGGATGGACTTGTTGGGGATTTTGGCATGGAGAAGCCCTTTTCCAAAACCACCCCTGCTAGGCAAACTCCATGGGGAGGACACTGAACTTTACCTGGGGCAAAGCCAGGAGCACGCTGCCAGCCCAGGCAGCACGGAGCAGCATCCCATTGCGGTGGTGAGCACGGGAGAAGGGATGGAGGATGGCTGCGTGCCGGTCCAGGCTGATGACCACCAGTACCAGGGCAGCTGCATACATAGCAAAGAGCTTGAGGAAGTTGAGGATCTTGCAGGAGATGTCCCCTCCATACCACTGCACTGTCACGTTCCACGCTGCATCCAGGGGCATCACCATCACTGTCACCAGCAGGTCAGCCAGCGCCAGGCTGAGGATCAGCGGCTGCACGTGGGATTTCCTCCTCTTCCTCAGCAGGCTGCCCAGCACGGCCGCATTGCTGCCCGCTGCCAGCAGGAAGAAGATGGCTGTGATGATCACACGGACCTTTGCTGCTTGAGTGAACCGGGGCTCCACCCAGTACTGGGGGTACGCAGAGGCCGAGGCATTGGTGTCCTCCCGCGTGGTGGGGCAGTGGGGAGATGCAGGGAGCTGCTCCTCACTCATCCCCTGCTGAAACACAAGCAGAAAAGTGAACTCCTTCTTAGGGGCTGCGTAGAATGCTGCAGCTTCAACAAATGGACAAGTGGGGAGATGGCAGGATCTGCATTGTAGGTACCAGCAGCAGTCTCCCATTCTGTCTTGTCCCAGCCTGTCCCTGCCTGTCCCCTCTGTGTAGCTCATTTTGCGAAGTCACCGTGTCCCCCCACCACAGTGACCCAGCCTGGCCACCCTCTCTGGCTTGCCCCTGCTGTAGCTACAGTGACTGTTCACACAGACATATATTTTTAGCTCTTTGTGAGGTGGCCGAGCAGGTGGGAAAGCAGGAGTGGTGGCCAGGACCATGGAACCAGTCACTGTCTGCCAGCATCCTGCTGGGAATGGGTCATACCAGAGCTGGCTGAGCCTGTGCTGGGGCAGCTGTGCTTGGTTCAAGGACTTGTCCTTCCAAAGGGGGCTTGTAGGCAGGGCTCAGCTTTTTAGAAACCCCACAGCCCCTTCCATTAGTGTGTTAATGATCCATCTCCATCTCCAGTGCCAGATCCAGATCTGGGGTCATGGACAGAAGCAGCTGGGGGTGACCAGGCAGGAGAAGGGGCATCCCACACTGTCCAGAGTCTTACAGTGGCTCCTGGGAGAGGATCACTGTGGCATTTAGGAGCCTGGACCTTCCCAGGACCCAAGCAGCACCAGCACAACACCTCTGTCCTTTTCCCTTCTGGAAGCAAAGCAGGAGGAGGAGGGAAAGGTAGAACCCTCCGTAAACCGGGGTGGCTGGGGAGTGATGAGCAGTGTGGTTGTCCCCCATGCTTGATTTCATTGCCCTTTTTACCTGAGCAGAACTCACAGGGGACACACACTTCCAGCTCCTGCAGCCACGAGCTGTTTACAGTCCCAGCTGCAGGTACAGCACATCTCCTACTGTTTCAAGCACCTTCCTGTTTGCCGATTCCAAAATAAAGCATTCCTTACCCTTGTACAAATAACAGGAACAGCAGAGATCAAATCTGTCTCCCCAGCTCTGCAGAAAGGAGATGCCAACACCTTGCAGCAATGCGCCCTCCTCCAGCCCCACCACCTGCACCCTGAGACCCCTTCTCCTTGCTTCCTTCACCCCTCCCTCCCCAAAGACCAACTGAACAAACAAGCAGCAAAAAGAAAGAACAGCTAAAAAGTACCAAGTTGCTTGTCTGGAATAAATGAGAAATACGTGTGCAGGTCAGGATTTATTCCAGCTGATGGGAACATACCTGGCATATGCATGCCCTGATGCTGAGAGAAGATGCTCCGTGCCTTTCCCACGGGTCCCTCACCGCTGCGGTGCTGAGTCAGGATGCTCCAGTGTTTCCTTGCATCAGATCCCTGCAACAAACCTTGAAGCAGTAAAATTTCCCCTTGCCAGCAGGCAAGCCAGGAGCGACGCTGCTGTTAGCACAGGCATATGCAGGCATCTGGAGATGGGAATGCTGCTGCAAACACCCCCTGCACCGGCAAACCAGGAACGGGGCACACCGAGGTGGGCACCCACGGGCAGCCTGGCTCAGGCAGCCACCATCACCCCTGCCCTTGTTAGCTTAATGAGCTGCCCACTTAATGAGCAGGCAGCAGGCATGATGACAAAGCTGCCGTAATGCAAGAAACAGCCAAAATTCAAAACGTTGTGGCCAAATGTGGCTCCATCAGGGATAAGTGCCAACAGTCCCTGTACTGGTTTGCTGTAAATACAGGAAAATGAGTTAATTATCCTGGGAGTTAGTGATGAATGTCCCGTTGCTCAGACAACCAAGAGACTCGCAGACATGCGCACACATGCACCTCAGAGATGCTCCTGGACCACACAGGTCCGTGGAAGCATCACAGGTACATGCCTGGACTAGAAATGCTGTAAGGAGGGAATTAATAAGGAGAAACGTGGTTCATTTTGCCATTTTAATGGATACACTTTTTTCCTTGCAGTCTATTAGTTCCCATCTTGTTCTTTCTGTATTTCTTGCAGCACAGCACAGTGAGAGGGAAGGACCTTGGGAGGGACAAAGAGCTCAAAAGAGCTTAGAAAATATGAAGTGCAATGCAAGGACAGGGAGGGAAACTGAGGACATCTTTATCTTCTGGCCAGCAAAGGAGCTGTGGGGGTGAAAGAGGGACAGCCCCAAGTCCTGCTGGGGCCAGCACTGGCAAACACACTCCCAGGGGCTTTGCTGGGACTTTAATGACATGCAGATAGACCTTCACATTTTCCAGGCTATTAAATTAAAGAGTACGTGGTATACAGGTCCCTGCAGATCCTGGGCTGGCAATGTGGCTCTGCATTGTTCCTCAAGAGGAAGAGATTCCCTTTCTGGAACAGGTTTTCCATTATTAAAACTACTCCCACTTATTTCAGGAGGAAATGCCTGAGCTATGAATGTAGTTGCACCATCTCTGAGGCTGCTTTGCTGGCAGGAGTGATGCTGGGCACAAGCAGAAAAGATATTTTCCCCATTTCCAATTTGACTCTTAAACCTTTGTGGGTTTAAGAGTCAACTTGTGGAGCAGAGGGACCAGATCCTGAGACCCAGGAGATGCTACAGACACTGGACTATGTTTGCCCTGGAATACCCTAAACTTTCCATCACTTCTTCATGGAGCTGCCAAAAGGAATCGGGATGGAAACTCTCTGCTCAGAGCCACAGAGGGCAAGTCCTGCATCTGAAGTGTTTTCCATAAGGGGGAAAGAGGAAAGCAGACCCTGCTGGCACTGCCAGAGAGCACCAGCCAGCCCTGCCACATGGGATGGGACTGTCCCCATCACCTCCTTACATGACAGGGGCATCACCCACCAGTGCCTTGGAAATGAGCCTGGCCCTTGGGGGACAAATAGCACAAAATCTTCATAGAAGTTGGGTGGAAGCCTGTTTGTTCCAGCAGCCACCTCCTCCTGACATTAGGTTCCTGCTTAAAGCTGAGATTAATTCGGCCACACACACTCATCCTTATTTTCCCTTTCATTTAGCCCTTTGCACCTGCACAAAAGCAATTAAGTAGCAAGTAAGGAATGTATTCCCTGTTTGTCCTTCATCCTAGCTGATGGCCTTTTAGTCTAGAAATGTCCTCTCCATCCCTGGCTCTATGATGCAAAAGAGGGACAGGATTTTTCTTGGGAAGTGTAAGCCTTGTTCATGTCACAACAAAGCCTTTAGTCCCAGTTCAGAGGGGATTTTTTTAGCATACCATCACACAGAAATGTCCTGGGCATGCATTAGCAATATGTCTTATTTTAAGGGTGGGGTCCCTTATTGAAATTACTGCTTTTCTCCAGCATTTGCACAGTAACCCCCTTGTGTTTTCTTCTCTTTTTTTCTTTTGCTCATCTCCTCAAAGGTCAGTTTGGATGTTGTCTGCATGGCAGCTTTCAGCCGAATCTCTGAACACTGGTTTAACGATCAGAGGATTTTGGTGTCCAGGATTAGGAAACAGCGCTGGCAGGCAGGGCTTGTTTCCATACATCCCAGCTTGGCTCTTCCCAAAATCTCCTCCTCTTGGGATGCTGCCCCAGTACATCCCCAGAGCTGCAGTCCAGCGCTGGGTCATGAGGGGACAGAGCATCCCCCAGCGTCCCCAAATAGGACTGATCTCCCCAAATCCATATAGATCATCCTGGATGCTGGAGAAACCAGAACTCAGGAACCACACTGGGTAATACAGTCTGAATAAAAATGCAAGCGCTGTGTTTTTCCATCAGACACCCTGTATATACTGGGATCTATCTCATCAAGGGAGAGCAGCATGGGATATAATTTCCATTAACCTATAGCAAACATGGGGCAGGGAACCTACTGCTGTTTATCCTGATAAATCACTGCTGGGGGCTTGGCTTCCCAAAGAGAAAAACTTGTATTTTCCTCTCTGAGAGAAACTCCAGCTGCTGCTGGTTGTTGTGACGGGTAAGGATGAGTGATTCTTCTGCTGGATTCATCACCTGCACCCTCCCCTCAGACAGGTGCTTCTGCCAGGCTGGGTGCCCAAATATTTCCCTTTATTCAGAAAAACCTCATGATTTCAGAGTGTTTTTAATGCTGATTCTTTTTTTCCCCCCTGCAATTCTTCTCCTCCTTCTCCAAACTTTGAATTGTCTTAGGAGCAGCTCATCCAAGGAAATTTTTGTCTCATACTGGACTCGAAACAGAAAGTCTAGTCAGGGACATCTGACATGCAATGTTTTTGTGAGTAAATACCAGCGTCCATGAAGTCATTTCCCGGGGTTAGAAATGAGCTCACCTCTGGAACAGCTTCTCTTCTTACCCAAAGTTCACAAGTCAAGCAATTGGGAAGCTCCCAGTTTTCAGCTTTTTCATTAAATAACAGCATCATAAAAATTAGCATGGTGCCACTGTGCTTACAAACAGGTCTGAATCAGGGCATCACCCAAAATTTCCCAAACTCTCTGCAGCAAAAGACAGAGACACAAAGCCCAGTGATCACCGGGGATAAACCAGCACCTTATTCTGCCTGCTCAGCCAGCCCTGGCTGCTCTGATCAACCTGCCAAGGAGGGACGGTAATTGCTGCCCCTCCTGGGGATAATCTAGGTCACCCCATCCCCCTCCTAAAAACCTGTGTTTAAAGCAGAGGGAGAGATCTGTTCTGCCTTCTGGACTGTTACTTGGTAAACTGTGCCTTTAGACCATTTCTTGGTGAAACAATGCTCTGTTTCTGATTCATCTTTGTATATCAAAACCTCGCTGATAAAAACCCTTCTCAGGGGTATCACACTGTTGGACAGAGGTACTGGGGAAAACATGCTCAAACCTGCTGCAATTCCCACCTTTTAATACCCCAGGCTGGTATTCCTGATGCTGCTGAGCTCAGATGTCCAGAGCATCATTCCCAGTGATTCCCCAGATTTACACCTTCCCATGCAGAGCAGCAGCTCTCAGGGTCTTTCCTCCATCTTTCATCAGGAAATGTCAATCTGCGTAAAATCCCACTCCTCATCTCTAAACTGGAAAATAGAGAGGATGGAATAGACCAAATCCTGAGGTCAAGCCCCAAGAAACATGGTGAGATCTGGTGCTGAGCCCTTTCTGTTCACCACCAAGCAAAAAAGACTGATGTGTGTGCATCACTGCCCCACTCAGCTGAGCTTCCCCACAACAGCTTTGCTTTCCTGCCCAGGCTGGAATTTATCTGGGGGGAAATTATTTGGGAACTTTCATCTGGAACCCCAGTCCCCAGTAAAGCAAGAAAATCACCCACAGGGACAGCGGAGGGTCCATAGGTCCCCTTCAGCTTCAGCATGCACTGACCCAGTCAGGGCTCTCACTGCCCTAACGGGGTATTTTTTTTGAGCTGGAAGAAATTATGAAATGCCAATGTTTTCGTTGTGACTAACCATGGAAGTGAACAATTTTGCCCTTGTTTTTGGACAGGGTTTAGTTGCTCTCCTTGCCTTTGCCTTCTGTGCCCTCTTTTATCCTCTGCTTTTTTAATTCCCTGTGGGACCTGTCCATCATGTTGCTCCAAATATCCTCCTCCCTCCAAGCCCTCAAATAGGATTGTGTGTCCCAAAGCCATATTTTGGTGCTCCCTTTGGATGCGCCTTCCCAAACATTGGCCAAATTCAAGGGCTGCTCTCCTTTGTTGCAGTGGGGGAGAGGTGAGATGTGGGGAAAGCTGACATCCCTGTGGGACCCTTGGCAGTTACACAGCGCTTGCAGGAGCAAAAAGCAGTGAACACATCCCCTGACTCCTCTTTTCCATGAGCTTCATATCGCCAAGCAGTTTTCAAAGCTTAAAGATACTGCTGGGTGAACTTCATGCAGGCACATGATCCTTCTCTATGCTTTTAGGAAAGGATCAGTGTCTTGTGGGGAGAGGTATCATCAGTGCTGAATTTGATGAGCCAGAGGGATATAATTTCTCTCCCCAACCCTGCTTTTACCCTCCTACAAGAAATCTGCTTTGAGCCAAGCTATGGGGCTGCAGGAATCCAGTGACTATCCCTTAGGATGAGTATCAGTGCTGAAATCTCCCCCCATCCAGATTTGGCTTCCCAGGGAGGTGTTTATGGGAGCCAAAATCCAAGTTGCTCCTGCTGTTACTCTGCAGAAGTGCTCATCTCCCAGGCTGCCTTTGCAATCTGCTCCCAGCAGTTTTTGTCTCAGATGGGACAAGAGGCTCACACTAGGAGCTGCCAGGCCTTTCTTCAGCAGCTCTTGGCCCCACCAAACCCTCTGGTGTGCTCCCGGCAAACACACATTTACCCTCCAGTGAAAGCTGATCTGGCCACGTATTCCAGGGGGAATCCCAACAGTGCTGGAATTAGCTCGGCAGAGACCGGCTTTTCCAAGCATGTCCTTGGCATAGAGCATGAGGTCATGAGATATTTTACATCTCCGGTCGCCCCCATGACCACAGGCACTCCAGGAAGGGGAGGCATTTCCATGCTCTCTTTTGCCAGTGGGGATGCTGGAAAACCCTTTTGGAGCTGAAACCTGGGGGTGGATCAACCCCGATTACCCCAGCCCAGGCACGGCTCCACATTGCTCAGTGCAAAAATTAACCTGATGGAAATTCCCACATGGTTCAACAAGGAGTGCCCACTACCCTCAGGGCTCCATCTCTTTCTGTCCATTCCATGTAGAGGCTTGTCTGAACACTAAACAATACTTTTTAGCTCAAAGCTTCACTTTCACTGCCATCACTGTTGCCTCTGTTCTGACTTACACAGCCTACACCTCTCCAATGTGCTGCCAGTGCAATCCCTGCAAAATAGGACAAAAACAAACTGGAAGAACCAGGCCTGCCCCTGCACATTCATGGATCAGGCAGGATTCTGCTGGTTTTTAGGGAAAACTGCCTGATGTTTTGCTGGTGTAAATCACTGCAAACCTGCCCACTTCAACTTGGTTTATAGCAAGAATATGGAAGGCACAAATGAGAGCAGGGATTGCCATCCCATGTGTGGGAGGCTGCTCCCCATGCTAGCATGGGTGCACAGCCTGGATTGCATCCCAGCCCAAAGCCAATACCCATAAATAGGAGCAATAAATCAAGGAGTTCTTCAGGAGCAATTAGTTACCCAAATCAACATGGACTTTGACACAGGATGGTCTTTGTCCATCCAACCTTGTCCAGAGCTAAAGCAAACAGCAGGTGGACTGTGGGTTGGAGCTCTGCTCCTGCCCTTCCTTTGCAGTGTAAATGTCCCCATTGAGGTGCTGTCCTGGCTTGGACCTGGCCACATTCCCATCACGCCTGTTCCCATCCTGTGACCGCTTTTACATCACTGATCAGAGGTTGTGCAATAGCTCAGGCCCTGCCACATCTGTGGGCAGGATGTTCCCCACACCATGGTGCTGCTCTGTCAGTGTCCCTGAGCAGTTAATGCTCCAGGTAGAGGCTGGGATATCCATTATTCATTAAGAGCTTGAAAATAATGGCCTTCTCCATCTTGAAGAAAGCTTCTAAATGAGTCAGTATTCTTATCTTAATTTCCCCAGCTCAGACACTTAATTAAAAAGGGATTCGCTATTGAGGCACTTCTGGTGCTCTCACAGCATCATGGTTTCTGCCTCTCCAAGCTCTGACAGGAAGGAGAGACAGTAGATATAGCCATGGCACCTAGAAGGGAAATACCAGTGGGACCCTTCTGCAGTCCAGGACATCCCAGTGAGCAGTGAATCCCTCCCCAGGGTACATGGTTCTATGTGTGTGCAGCAGGGTGGAAGGTGACAGTCCCTGGGCTCTCCAATAGCAAACATGCCCTGCAAAAGCACTAGCAAAAGCCCTTTTCCTTTACAGATGGAATAATGGAACAGAGGGCACCCTCTTTTACATGTCAGGAGTCAGTTGTGTTGTGCTGGTGCCAGCAGACATTTGGGGGCTTACCCTGTGGAACAGACCCCACAAACAGCACAGACACTTATTGTCTCCTCACTCCTGGCTCTTTCACCACTGCAGAAAAAGCCTTCCTGATCTCCAGAGCTAAAATCAGTCTTTTCCTGGATCCTGGCTCTCCTGATGTCCCCACTGTGTGCTGCCTTTTGTATTTGTTCCATAAATGATGTTTATGGAGCTGAACATTACTGAGTCCCCATAGAAGTTTTAGCTCCCAAGCAAATACTTCCAGAGGGGAAATAGGTCCACTCACTCCTTTTCTCCCAGTCATAGCCTGTAAATCCTCATCCACACAATGAAAACAAATTCCAGTAATTCATTTTTCTGGCTCTTTTCCAAAGATTTTAGGCAGCTGGAGTGCAATTTTGTGCTGATGAAGCGGTGGAGGAGGGGCTTAAGTGAAACAATATTGAGGTTTGCTAGTGTTTCAGAGCTCAGAGGGAACCTCAGGGACCTGCTACATCTCCAAGTTCTCCTACAAACCATGGAAATCGCCACTCCGGCTCCTGGGATAGCAAAACAGGATTTTAAAAAAACAACATTAGCCACCCCTGGAGCATGGCTGGAGAAGTGCCGGGAGCCAAGTGCTTAATGAAATCCCAGCTCCCAACTCTCCCTTCTAAACCACGCAAACTTCCCCAAAGTGTTTGGGATGGAACAAAGTCATCAATCAGTTATTTTAACTCCCATCTCCGTAAACAGAAGCAAGCCCAGAAACATGCAGCAGGGGAAAATAACCGTCAGCTCCCTTTGGCGGAGTGGAGAGGGCACAGGGAGGGAGGACGAGGGCAGCCGGCAGGGAATTATGCATGGCCTTGACCCAAAAGGGGATTTATGGGCCCCACAGAGCATTTTGCAGACCCCACAGCCTGTAAATTCCACATGCAGCCCTGAGAACAGCCCCTCCAACCCTACTATCCTTCTGGCATGGTGCAGTTGGCTTTTGGAGATGGCCACTCAGCCATGCTGTACTAGAAATGGTGGGAGACATGAAGAACCAGGATGAGCATTATCAGCCAGTTTTCCCCTGGATTTATTAGATGAACACCAGAAAAGTTATGGACACAACCACAAAGAAGTGTGGGGAGGGAGATACTGCTGGCACCATCTGCTGTCACACTCCCCTGACACTGCCCCAGCCTCAGCATTAAGCATGGCAGTATTCACATAAATACCTTATGGCTTTGTAATTACACATCAGTAATGAAACCATGGAAAAAAACTATGAGATTTGGGTAGGCTCCCCAGCATTAATCCAGAAGAGGAATGAGTCCAAGAGGCTGTGGATCTGCTGATTTCTGATGGGAAGGAGCAGCCTCAGGCAGCTGAAGCCACTGGTTATGGGCAGAAAGACAGGAGCAGATTGGTCTGGGATCTGTCCTTGTCACTGGCCACAGGTACTACAGCCCTGCAGAATACGCCAGGCATGGGGCAGCCCCTGACTTGTCCTCTCCACCCCATGGGTTGGGGCATTGTCCACCTCCAGGCAGCTGGAAAGCCTCTCCCAGAGCCGGTGGTGCTCAGCACTGGCATCATCTGGGGCTCTTCTCATGCTGTTCCCTCCAAAGTCAGTCACATGTCAGAGCTGCAGCAAGGGATGGTCAAGCCAAGAGAAACTGTGCAAATGAACTGTTCTAGAGACTTGGGGTTTGCATGAACTCACATGTGCCAAACCTGCTTCTAAAGCCACACACATGTCTCCAGATCTTGTCTTGAAGGAGACATAGTAGAGAGAAAACAGCCATGCTGAGGAGGCTGCAAAATCCCCTGCAGAAATGCCTGCACCTGCACTGGGTTAGAACTATCATCCCGCTTCCATCATGTAAGGAATAATAGTTTATTCCCTTTGTAGAACAGCACATTTCCTTACCCAGCAGTGCGACCCACAGGAATTGATGCTAGGATGTGGGCAAGCAGCCAGTGGGACTGGAGATGTCTTGCCAAGGCACTGGTGCTGTGCTTAGTGTGGGTCAACCATGGTGGGAGGTAGCTTCCATCTGGGGAAGACGAATTCCTTGCTCTGCCTCAGCACCTTTCCCACATCTCATCTTCATCACAAAGGGGAAACAGAGATGATCTCCATGTTTATGTCAGAGGTCTGCAGCTTCCAGCTCACGGTGCACTCCTTGCCTACCAGATAAACATTCTAACATTTTTGGCACATCTCAGGTGTTTTTTCCTTTTCCCTCGTAAACATAAACAGGACCCAGTGTAGGTCATTGCTGATTATTTTTTATGTGACATCTTGATCTGTGTTCCTCCTGCACCACTCCCTCTGGCAGCAGGGCTGACAAGGATTACTGGGAAGTGGCTTGGGACACCACTGATCCCCCACTGGCTGCCCCAACACCCATCCCCTTCTTTTGGGGGTTGCTCCACAGCACGTGCTTTCACACCACATTCCTGAAGCAACCATCTGCACAGTCCAGTGGTGCCAGGGCTTCATGCATGGGTGGCAGTCACTTGCACAAGGCCACATGCCTTGTCAACACCCAGGAACCCTACGTCCACAGAAAATTTGCCATAAGTTATATGAGAAAAATGTGGCTGCAGAGGTGGGGAAAGCCTGGAAGGCTGAAGCCAGACTGGGGCAAGCAGGAAACTCTGGTGAGGGTCATTGCTAGATCTCCCCACGGTTCAAGATGCAGTCACATTTATTTAGAAGGACGGTCCTGCCTCTGCAGCTATGAGCTACCACGGGTGTTCAAACCAATCCCACTGGCTTTGTCCCACATCCTCACATCCCCACAGCATCCTCATCTGACCTCTGCCCACAGCACAGGGGCAAAGGTGGACAGGCAGTGCAGGGAACAGCGCTCAGCTGAGCCCACACCTGCAAAATGGGGCAAATCCACGTGCACTGCTGGGTGGGCACCACGTTTGTCCCAAACCGGGTAAAGCCAAAAAAGCATCCCCAAAACTCATTGCCTGTTCACTGTATCTCCACCTTCAACACTCGGCAGCATCTATTTCAGATCCAGACCCCGGCTGAACCCCTAACAGTGACGATGCTGTGCTGGGATGCGGTGCCCACACCAGGACGTGGTACCCACACCGTGCCCTGTCCCACCACCAGCAGCAGCCGCCACGCCGTGGCATCGCCACAGGTTTCTGTTTACCATCACCTTATTAAGGGATTATTCAGGCTGCGGTTTCCTCGCGCGGTGGATCTGTTTGTGCTGGCGGCCGGTGGCTCGCTGCCATCCCCTAAGCTACACGCCGGGCTATATAAGCGACCTCGGCGGGAGGCTCGCACACAGCCCGGCTCCGCTCGGCGCAGGGGAGGTTTCGCTAAGCTGCACTTCTCTCTTCTTCCCTACCGGCTGCAAATCCCTGAACACGCAGCTGACAAGCCCTCGTCTCGCCCGCGGATCTCAGCTCGGCTGGCGGCTCCGTGGCGGAAAGACGGGACCCTCCTTAAGTGGGGTTTTTATGGCTTTTTAGGTAAGAGGAAAAAACCCAACCCAATCCTGCTTTTTTTCCCATCTGTGGTAGATAGTGGTTATAGAATTCTCTTGTGTTAAGGCGGCGTAATTAAGAGCGGCAGTGATTGAAGGTGAGGTGGAAATTAATTAACGGGCAGATGACGGCACAGAGGCTGGAAAACATCGATGGGGATGCGGTTCCCCGCGTCCCGCTCCTCCGTTCCTCGTCCCAGCTAGTGGGCTTGGGGAAGGGTTATGGGGCAGCTGGAGCGGGGATCTGAGGGGCTTTGCTCACGTCGGGCGGTTTCATCTCCCGCGGCTCTATCCCGCGCTGGCTCGCACAGACAGGGGACACAGGCAGCTCCAAACCTTCCCTGCTGCCAAGATCCGGCCGCTGGAACCCCCCTTTCCGAGCATCGCGGGTCTGGGTACAGAGGGATGTATCCCAATCCCAAACCCAGTGCTGAACAACTTGCAGTCAGCTCCAAAAATAGTTGCCAAGTGGGAAACAGGATTAATTTTTTCCGGGTTATTGTCTGGCTGTGAGTTCATAACCCCACCGTAAGCCCACAAAATACCGCTCATGTGTTGCTTGTTATTTTTGCTTGACTGGGATTTGCTGAGCCATAATCAAAGTATTTCCTAGTCCCACATTCCCTGTTCTCAGAGGGAATGGTTAGTACCACTTACAAATAACAAAGTGTTCTCGCCAGTGACTGCTCTTTGTGAGCCCCATTTTATGGGTAAGCTGAGGCAACAAACAGCTGGGGTAATACTCTTCCCTCCTCCCAGTTCATTGATTTTGGGTGCATAAAATAAAGCTGATGGTCACTAGGGATAACATCAACTCCACAAGTACTTTCAGAAATTCAATACCCAAATGCTTGATGCTCTAGGGCAAAGGGGCTCGCTGAAAACAAAATCTGAAGTGGTTGAGCTGGTGAAGAGTGACACAAAGCCTCAGTCCTACATCCATGCCTGCGGGAAAAGGAAAATATTGAGCTTCTTGCTACATTTGCAGGAAAGACTTGGCTTGTGCATGGGTTTTTCTGTTTTCAGAAGTGCTCCAGAGCCTTCCCTCTCCTCACACTCTGGGATGTACTGGGATAAGATGCTCACACTATGTCCAGTTTGCAGGCAGAAGGATGGAGGCATGGGGCTGTCCTTGCTCCTGTGGGGAGCAGACCTAGGTGCCGGGGGACCTGCAGAGCTGCGTGGGCTGTGAGAGATCCCTGCAGAAGTATTTAAACTGTTCCAAGGCATGTTAAGGAGATGCTGTTACAAAGTAGTGCTCTGCAGAATAGATTTGGGCCCAGATGAGAAGCAGGGGGAATGCAAGCACAGATGTGGAGCCCCTGCTGCTCCCCCCTGGGGGAGTAAATGAAGAGCTGCTGGGGATGGGTGAACAGGGGATATAAATGCCCCTGTGGCATGTTTTGGAGCGGCTCAGCCTGGGAGAAGCTCCCCAAAAGCAGCAGGATCTGTGTGAGCTTTGACACGGTCGGGTTTGTCTCTGCAGGACTGGGGAAGGCGTGGGTCGGCTGCGGAAACTCCAGGAATCCCCTGGTCACCTCTGGAAACAGCGATGGTCAGCATGAAAGGCTGGATCCTCCTCGTCCTCTGGGGTGCCACTTCTGTTTTAGGTGAAGGTTAAACGTTTCCATTCTGGTCACTGTGCTGTCCCCTGCCCGTGCCAGTGCAGGCACGTCTGTTGGCAGCTGCTGAGCCAGCAGACACAGCCCGACATCGATGCTGGGTGCTGGTCTGGGTCACTGCGGCGTTTGCCCAGCCAGACAACTTCCACACAAGGACTGGCTCCCATCCAGCCCCCAGAGTTCGAGCAAAGCCTGTCTGAGAGTCAGTGAGCCTCTGGTTGACCAGGGATGAGCTCCCTGGCCCACTGGTCATGCTAGGACCATCCCTGCCTGCTGTCCCTGAGATCCCATAGTGTCCTGTCTGCACTCAGAGAAGCACAGGGGAGAGCTGGTGCTGGGGCTTAGCTCCCCAGTTTATATGGGACTGTTCCCAGCAAGCGACCCAGGAACCAGCCACGGCCATCAGCTCCCCTCAGGCATGCAGGTGGCCAGCAAGTTCAGAAACCAGCTCTTGTCCCATAGAAACAACAAATACTAATCCACCTTGGATTAGTATTTCCTTGCACATGGACAGGAAGGACGTATTTTATCTCTCCAGCTATAAAAAGATGAGTTGGTCTGAGCTGCTCCAACACAGAAAATATAAAAAAGTTTTTCTTGGGTGATTAGGAGAAATAGAAAATTTGTATCATACTTGAGCTGCAGTGATGCTGTGGGACATATCCATTGTGTCCTTCTCTTGGCATCTCCTGCACTGCATCCTACAGGAGCTCTAACCAGCCACAGTCCAATGGGAAAGCTGCAATATTGAGCCTAAGGATGTAAAATTCCTTGAATCTAATTCATTCTTTCATTCATTGACCCTTAGGACAAAGGATTTTGAAACCAGCCCTCACTAGGGTCCAGATAGGACAGAGAACCTTCAGCCCGCTGGTAATGCTCAGCTTGGAGAGTAAGTTCATTCCCACCTTGGGTAGATTTTCCTCACTGGATAATTTTCCCAACAATTTACAACTAACTAATATTATTTGAGTAGAAGAGGACATTTAGGGTTAGAATCATTCTATGATTCTATTATTTAGGCAATGGAATAAATGTTAATCATCCACGACCTCCTGTAGGGTTTTGGCTATCACTGACACATGCTGTTGGCTCCTCTCCTGGAAAAGGGAAGGTCAACGTGTGACCACAGCCCCAGCTCCTGCGGGAGGCACGCGGGCTGGGAGGGTGAGAAGAGCCCAGGGATGGGCCAGCACATGCTCTGACCTGCCTTTACCCTGCCCAGCCTGCCCCACACCCTGGGCAGTTTGTGACACCATTCCTTCAGAATTAAAGCCTGTGGGGAATTAATTAACCTGCAGAGACCACTCTGCTCATTAATCCCCAGGAAATGCCCCAACCTCTCATCTTACTGTCCAGGGCTTAGAATTTAAATTCCAGCAGGCACTGAAAGGGCTGGCCATGCTGAAGGATTTGGGGATTTTCCCAGCCTTTTCCCCAGCTCCCAGCAGCCCTCTTAGCCACTGGGAAGAATCAAAGCACTGAGAGGTCCCCTCCACTTGCTGAGGGGTATTTTTTTGAGAACCACCAGTAAAATAGTTTTCCCTTGAAAGTGGATGGCACAAGGCAGTGATACTGGGGCTGGCTCCCTGGCTGGCAAACCCTGCCTGAATCACCCCTCTGCCCACAGGTACGAGGAGCAGCTCTCGCCGGGGAGACCCAGCCTTCACCTACGTCAGACGCAGTACGTTCCTGCCAGCCAGTGCCACGGGGCAGCCCTGTCCTTTCCCATGTCCCCACCAATGCTCGATCCCTGAGCTTCTCCCTCATCCTCCATGTTCTGCTTTTTCTGCTGTCAAAATGCTACCTGGAGCCATATAACGCCATTTTCCTCCACAGGATTCCCCTGCTCATTTTCTATAATCACCAGCCCTGCAGATTAAAGCAGCTGATCCCAAACAAGCTTAGGATCTTGCTGAGACCCCACTTTAATCTGTTGTACATCCAGTCTTTGCTTGGGGCAAGCACAAATAGGCATTTATCCATAGGATGTGACCTCGTCCCCAAGCCCACCTCCTCCTGCATGCCTAAAATTGCTAAATAATAAGTCAAGGATCCCACTACTTGGGATGCTGAACTAGAGATGCTGATGTGCCAACAGATTAAAACCCTACCCATTTACGCCAAGTGGTCACTCCAAGCCAGACATGACACTTCCATATCTGATCTCATTTCAAGGGTCTTTTCCACCCACCTGCTTTTATAAGCCAGGATTGGTTTCAACCACCCATTCACAATTTGAACAGTCCAGCCCTGTGCCTGTCTGCCTTTCTAGGAAACAAATCAACCTGCTCCATTACAAGTTGGGTGGAAGAATAGGTATGGGAGATGACATAGCACACGTCTCCAAGAAACTTCATTTTTAGAAACTTTAGTCACTAGTCCATCCTCATAAACATTATTAGAACACTGTCATTTTTTTAAAAAGTTGAAACCACAGACTTGGAGTGGATCTCATCCATTCAAAGTAGCTTAAATTAATAACATCTAGTAGCTCGATTAAAGAAAATACTTTAAAAATATAACCTCATATTAAACTCCCAAAGTGTTTTGCAAATTTTCTGTTTTACCAATCAGCTGGCTCCTGACATGTTCGGCATGCATGGTAGCATCTTAAGCTTCTGGTTTGCACTCAGTAAAAATGGTGCTCACAATAGGACACACACTGCCCCTATAGAAAACATATGTTGAAATTTGGTTAAAGACATTCAACATGATCATACCAACAATTTTACCCCTTTTTTGTAACTATTTAACCATTTTACCTTTTATTTAAACTGTTTACCACATTTGAAACAGACAAGCATTGCCCCACAAAAAACATTTAAATGAGAATGTGTGTTTGATTTCCTTAAGCCAAAGTTATTCAATACTAAGCATGAGCTGCCTGCACTTTGCTCCCCTTGGGTTTATCTTAATCATCCTGAATTTGGCAGCCTGAGAGGAATTAAGTCAGAAGCCTTCAGACGCCTTCTCATGCTTTAATTTCCAGCTCCCTGAACATGCTTTGAGTTTGTTTAATCCATGTGGTACGTAATAGCCAAATGTATAGTCTGAGCTCTATAGAAGCTGCTAAAACCCAACTGGCCGTTTTTGGGCAGCTGTATGTG